CTTTTGTCTTATTCTATCATATATACACTCCTTTCTACCACTTCTTTCTCTTTTACTCCGACGAAGGACTAGCGTCCGAAACGTCAGTAAGTTTTTTCACTTTTTCACGGTGTATAATTTACCTTTTCATCATTACTGTTTCATTAGAAACACCGACGCAGCTCACACTAGTTTTTAGGTAGTTATATCTTGTCTTGACAATGTACGATTTATTCCTCCTACTCCCGTAGTGGGCTACCTGTCGCATTATTCACTTCTATGAGGATTTTAAAGTCAAGTATTAAAGTTAATCTGCAATGAATCCAAGTATTTACAGTTGTCTATGCTTCTTAATGAAAAAGTAGCAAAACTCCAAAAGATATTGGAAATTAAAACTAGAGAGTTTTGTAATGGATTGTTGAGATCTGTTTTATTAACTCCAACATACAAAAAGTCTTGTAATTTTTAGGGATTTTTCCTAAAGTACTTTTTACTATCGTAACATGTTTTTCAAACGTACACATTTTACTTTAATAAAAAAATTCTTTCTTACAAAGCAAACTGCCATGAAAACTTAGATTTTAGTTCTTTATGCTAAGCTGCTAACTTGATTTAAGTATCCAATGTTCCCCTAGAGCTCGAGCCTGACCACAAGCCCGGTAACAAAACCAGGGGATCATGGAGAGATTAAAGAACCGGGAAACTGACGCAGCGCCACTTTTTCTATAAGTTACGGTAAAATTACTCTGAAGATTGACATTGAACACAAGGTCATTTCCTGTCGAAAGCCAAGTACGACGAGGTAAATTAAAACTAGAGGGAATATCTTCACATAGTTGGCATAATGCCGTCATTCCTTTTAGCAATCAGAGGGATATTTTACAAGTACATTTAATGAGTACCGCTTATTTACCGTGTACAAAACGTTACTAGCTTTCTCAAAACAGATTTTTTTTGGAACGATCGAGGTTGATCTAAAGAGCACTGTGAATGCCCTCGTTTTGTATCTGCAGATTAAAATCTACATAGTTTTTTTAAAAGCTCATTTGGGAAGACGTTTTGGCATCACGCGGAGGTCCAAACTGGACGTTTTCCAACTTTGTAGTTTGAATGACGCACAATGAAAAAACATAAGCCTGACAGGAATGATGGAATACTTGGTATTTGTATTTTGAAAATGACTAAAAAATAAAGTAAAATAATAAAAGAATAAACTGTGAGTTTGAAAAGAATAAACTCTCGAAACAAGGCGTGTTCCATTGACGTTATGTCAGTATACAAAACTTAAATCTTCTAGTTATCTTAGTTTTTTTGCTCTTGTTTGTCAGTAAAGTGTTCCAGTCGTTAGTTCCAAGCATACAGAAACCATTTTGTGAAATTGGCCGGCTTTTTTTGCAAAAAGGAAGGTTGCCAAGATAGGTTGGACTTGACTTTTTAGCCTCATTGTTTATCTTAGGTAAAATACTTTGAAACAGAATCAATTTTGTCAAACTTATCTAGATTATCTTGTGTCAGTCACTGGAAATATAGGATCCGAAATATACTACAGGCGAACAACAAAGCACTCGCTTTGCTCTAAGGCTAGGCCTGCCGTATTGCGTTCGAGTTTACTAGCATGGGCAATGTCTATCATGTTAGCTTTTCTATCTTGAATCCTAATCTATTGAAAAAACATTACAGTAACACAACGCGGGTAAGATAGAAAACACTCAATGAAAAAACATTCTCTAATAACGCGGTTCATAATTTTTGGCTACTACTGAATGGTTCTATCAGTATGGAATCTATGTTCACATCAGCCTTGAAACGAAGGGTGTTTCGCTGTCAAAATTGACCACTGAATGAATAAAAGTGACTCAACTTGATAAGACATGTAAATAGGTGAGAATACTAGTTCTGACCACTAAATGAGTAAGAGTGACTCAACTTGATGAGACATGTAAATAGATGAGAATACTAGTTCTGACGGATCTTGTACGAATAATGAGAATATGAACGCGCATGCAGAGCCAAAGCCCTAAACATAACAATACGAGCAGACCAGTGCTTAACGGTGGTCGCTGAATCAAAAATGACTCTCAAGTTATCCACACATTTAGTAGAGTATCTTAATACTCGTCTGGGTAAAAAGACACCCCCAACAGTAATAAAGGTAGATTTGCGACAATATTCAGACATGTCTAGTCTGTTTCGGCGGTACACCACACCCTCAACTAGTGGAAAGGGCGGTCGGTATGTGTTCCGATCAAGGAAGAAACACTAACTCTTAGACAATTACGATTGTAATGCGTATGAATGTTACCCTGCTCACCTTCTCTACGTCGTGCAGAAGATCCTTGCCGCCGATGCGAAGCTCGCAATAGATTGACGAGAAATACTAGATGGAATTCTTACTAAGAGGTTTTTCCAGCCCTGGAGCGTGTAGATATCGCTGCGTAAACGCTGGCTACTTTGTTTTGTTTGGGGAATTGAAGCTGGCTAATGATGCTAATAAAACCTCGTGACTTAACGAGTTCCGATCCGACTAATCAAGAGATGGAATTCTTGCGGTTGAAGGCATTCCTGGCAACAAGTCGATTTGATGTCACTTCAAGCTGGTGTTGTCAGCATGTCATCACACGTAACAAGTCACTAGACATGTGATAACCTTGAACTACGAATGGAAATCAGCGCATTCTCTAACGACAGCCAATCAGATTGAGCCATCTACTTAAGTTGCAGGCCGGACTTACTGGTTTTAGCCTGTTTTCAGTGACTTAATCATTCGATCTTTATTCATTCATTTATGACGACAATTGAGATCTGCTCTCAACTCACTGTGGCACGGGTCATCGATCAGAGGTTCAAATTTACTATATCACAAGTAACGGAAGCTGAGTCAAAATTATGCTATATTTGCGTACCTTGTACCTCGATCACTGACATGGAACACGACTTTAGCACTTGTATGGATACACTCGTGTCTAAAGAGAATGACAAACATAACATTGCAATTATCAAGACGTACCAGTTGTTGGATGATATTTGGGATGCACGATATTTATTAAGTCATCTTGTAGGTCTGATATAGGTTAACAGTTCCTTGTGAAAATGTCCAAAGCATGGTAAAATGACGTGGAATACATGGTAAAATGAGGTGGAAGGCATTGGAAAATGAGGTGGAAGGTATTGGAAAATGAGGTGGAATTACTGTAAAACGAAGTGGAATGTATGGAAAAATGAGGTAGAATGCATGGTAAAACGAGGTAGAATGCATGGTAAAATGAGATAGAACGCATTGGAAAATGAGGTGGAATTACTGGTAAAATGAGGTAGAATGCATGGTAAAAAAAATGAGGTGGAATGCATGGTAGAATGCATGGTCAAATTTCCCCCACTTGTAATAAGATGAGCATTTGCTGTTGTACCGCTCTTCGTTTTTTTTCTTCTTGTTTTATGTTTAGTAAGATAAAAAGAGGATTAAAGCCAAATAATGTGTCGTGACGTCTATTCAGGTCAAGCTAGCATTGGCTGATCGAGTCGCCGACTAAATAGTGTAGAAGTTCCCTTCAAAACAAGTATAGAATAGCAAACAAAAACGATTTTCAACTTTTGGCGTAGATCCACAGTACAGGTTTTCCTTCAGATTTATCGTATTATAATACACTCAACAAGATTACTCGTTTCTGATTGGACAAGAGGAGTTCAATTAAATTCCAAATTGTACTCTGTAGAGTCCCAATTAAGTTGATCATTTTGTTTAGTGTATTATAAACAAAAAATCGCACGATCTTCTCGTACAATTCGTTTAAAAGTTTTTAAAAGTCTTTGAGAAATTTCAAAACATCACTCGTACCTATGGATTCCGAATTGTACGAGGATCAAGCGATTTCCTATTGACTTATCAAACGCCATAGTGATTGTTTGTATATTTTGTGGAAAGTCCAAAGTGAGGTCAAACTATGCACCTCATAAACAGGAAATCGAAAAGATGCGTCAATGACTGAAGCATGTCATACTAGTGTTATATAGAGTCCAGTACAGCATCCATCACTAGACATGGACCGGATTTCCAGTTTGACCGGTGTTACTACAAAATTAGGACTACCGCATTATCATATTGCGCGAAATAGGACGACTGAGACAAATGATAGTGAATTCGTCCGTAAATCAGTAATATCAGGCTACACAGATTTATTCCATTTGACTTTTGAGAGGTTTATAAAGTAATTAAAATCGTAAATTACCAGTTCGGGTAAGTGATTTACACAGAATTTAACGAGCCTGGAATGAATAGGCTGAGTTGTCAACATATTGGATTAAGATCACGGGAAGTTTTATGCACTCGAAATAAGATTTAAGAGGTGCTACGCAGATGAGTTCAATGTTGATAACAGAGTTTGCGCAACTTAGCTTCAAAATAAAGTAAATGTGAAATCTAGAGCCTTACGATCTGCACTGAAGCAAAGGACTGGCTCCCCCTGACCCCAGCCAGGGCTAAGTTTTTCACTGAAGTGTCACAAGATATTATACTGGAGCTTCTGGGACGTGCAGTCATTCCTATCTAGTATGTTCCTTCACATTTGTTTTGTATTACATATACTTGATCTATACCTGTTACGTCCTCTTTTTTAAACGTGGGTGTCGTGTTTCTCAAGTGTCTTGGGAATGGACCTGTTTATTGATTGTGGATAGTCAGTCCACTGAGCTGACAGCAATTTTTGTTTCATCCATATTCATTTGTCTGAATGACATATGGTCTGCATGGAAAACGTGAGGCTCAGGCTAGAGACCTTGGAGTCGTAAAGCAGTACCAGTAATAAAAGAAATGATACTCAATGGAATGAAACATTGCCTAAATGGAAACCGTGAGGCCTAGTCTAGAGAGGCCTTGGAGTCGTAAGGCATTACCAGAAATGAAAGAAATGATACTCAATGGAATGAAACATGGCCTGAATAGAAACCATGGCGTCAGGCTAGAGACCTTGGAGTCGTAAAGCATTACCAGTAATAAAAGAAATGATACTCAATGGAATGAAACATGGTCTGAATGGAAAACGTGAGGCTCAGGCTAGAGAGGCCTTGGAGTCGTAAAGCAGTACCAGTAATGAAAGAAATGATACTCAATGGAATGAAACATGGTCTGAATAGAAAACCTTACGTCCAGGCTAGAGAGGCCTCTTGTATAGCAATTTTAAAGCAAAAAATAAGTATACGCAACGTCCTTTGCAAATTATCTTGTTGTCCTTCCAGCCCCCTCCCCCTCCCCACAAAAAAATGCATAGAAATTATGATTTCCACTTTAGTTCAGGTTTAGGTTTCAATCTAAGACTTTTTATTTGGTTGGTATGGACATTATCAAATACGTTTGGTAATAAAAATCAGTAATTTTGTATGTAGACACGTATATTTGATAGTATTATGTTTGTCAGAATGAGCCAAGAGGTGTGGGTAATCTCTATAGAGGGCCTTAAACCCTATATCAATGTGGATGTCGTTTGACCTCTCATATAATATCATGTAAAGACTTTTGCGCTTTTAAAGTTCTACTGCACACCAAGGATGCTAATTTTGGAACACTATGCACTTATTAATAGAAATCTTATTGAATTTAAAAACCTAACATGCAGCTTGTTCCTCGCGGCTTGGAGCCTACGAGATCACGTTCCTTCGCGAGCCCCTTTTACTGTTTGTTAAGAAAAGATGACAAAATACAGCACACCGTTAAAAGTGATGGAAATATTCCAAAACGAGAATCAAATTTCATAAATAACCGCAGCCGGCGCAAAAGTGACAAAAGAAAACGTGAGCGTCAATGTGAAGCCAGAGGGGAAGGCATATCGAGACAGGAGTACGAGACGGTCGATCAATTAATGTTTGGGTTCGTTTTACCAAACCAGGAACCAAAACACAGACAGCGTCGCGGTGAAAGCAAGACCTAGATCTAGACAAGTATATTTAGTTTAGTTGGAGTGCTTTTGGAATTGTTCCATGTCTTGTAAGGTCATGTGTGCTTGTAGCTCGTGTTATATTATTCGAGGTATATATTCTAATAGTGAAAACTTCGTAGGAGATGGAAACGCGTAGTAATGTGACTCTTGAATAGTTTCTGTATTTAAGCGTTTGGATGGTGAGGATTGGATGGTGAGGATTTTGTCCATCCCTGATTTGTTCATGGTGGTAAGCTTTAGATATCGTTACTAGTTGGTACGAGTACATTTTCATATATTTCAGTATGTCAATCGTGAACAGCTTATATTTCGGTTAAAAGTCAAAGTTCAGCGAAAATAATCAATGCTCGTCAATGCATTGAAGAGAAACAGGGTTTTATAGGATTCAGAAACGGAAAGGGAAATGAGAATAGAATCTGGATGGGAGGGAAGAAAGGATTGGGTCTATATATAAAGAAATTGGAAAATGAATGAAAATTGTGATGAAAGGGAATGGAAGAGAATTATTAATGAGGATAGAATAGAATATGCATGGGAGAAGTAAAATGAGAAATGAGAAAAATGATAGATATGTACAGGAATTTGAAAAAGAAAAAATGTAAAGAGAAATGAAATGGAAGAGAGAAGTATTACTGAGGGAAGATAAGATATGCATGGGAGAGAAAGAATTAGAGATGAGAAAAATGATAGATATGTACGGTAATTTGAAAAGAAAGGAAAAAAGTGAAAAGAAATGGAAGAGTATTACTGAGGGAAGATAAGATGCATGAAAGAAAAAATTGAGAAATGAGAACAATGATAGATATGTATAAGAATTTAAAAAGAAAGAGAAGAAAAAGAAAATGGAAAAGAGTAGTATTACTGAGGAAAAATGAGATGCATGAAAGAAAAAAATGAGAAAAAATGAGAAAAACGACATATATGTATAGGAATTCGTAAAGGAAGGACAAAAGTGAAGAGAAACGAAATGAGAGAAGAGATGAGATATGCAAAAGAGAAAAAAAGACAAACGTAGAGAATGAAAGGGAAGAGGAAGGAGAATAATTAAGAGAAAATATGGATGAAAGGAAACACGAAGAAGAAAGGGAAAAGAATGGAAATAGATAAAAAGGTAAAAATTAATGGATGACGGAGAAAGCAAATTATTATCGAAGGTTAGCGTAAGGATATGGATGATGGATGATAAAGAAAGACATGGGCAAGTAAAGGTACGTGATGTTTAATAACGTGCCAGCTTGTCGATGTTTTTACCGCTGACTTTTAAACCATTACCTTAAGGAGATTCTCTATTTTTTGATATAAGCCCAAAGTTGATCGGGGGATTCCATTGACACATGGAAGTATTTGTAATACGCAATGGAATCTGTTGTGTGATGAGAGTAGTGGAGTCATCTCGTTAGGGACTGACCTTGGCTGCTCTATTTGACGTAGTTACTGAAATCCTGAAATTCGTGCTATATGCAGGAGGATAACATTTGTTTGTAAATAGATGATCCTGTACACAGAATGAATGGTAACAATGCCCTCTAAGGTTAACTCCACGGTGATGTAGTAATTATGGCAAAGGAATCTAAAGTTTTCTGTCAAGTTTACGTAACTCAGTTGGTCGTTGCGATTGCATCTAAGGTTGCAAATAACATCATCAACGTAATTTGAAAAAATGAAAGGAATCTTAATTTATTTATTTACATAACTTTATCCATGACAATTATCTAAGTTCCTAAGCTATCATGGAAGGGGTAAGCACAACAGAGCTTGGCTCCAAATTATGTGCACCCTAACAAAAATTTAAATTATAATAACAACAACAAAATACAAAACAAGAAACAAGACAAGAGAATATTAAAAATTAAAACGCTATAGTGCCTACGAAAGGCAGCGCCACAAGAGGACTATAGTAAGGGAAACAAAAGACGCGTCAAAGCAAGAGGGCGGTCATGTGGGAGGAGAAGAGGAGGGGCCTTCAGACTAAGGTAGCATAAAACAAAATCGTGTTCCTCGAGCAGATGTATGCAAAATCTCCCCGGGCTATAACACAAGAATTTTCCAGAACAGGAAACTCTACGTATATTCTTGGAGCAACACAAAAAGGTCCGAAAGCAATGCGTCCGGTCATAACCTCCATCGCAGCTTTCTAAGGACAGTTTAGATCAACGTGACAGGATATTGAATATAAGACAAACGACAACGTAGTGTGACGATTTTACTACAAACTACTGGAATAGAGCCAGTTTAGAAGACCAAAGCCACGGTCAACTGACTAGTGTATTGATGTCCATTAACTGGTGACGAGCATAGGACAGGTCAAGGTTATGCCCACAATACCTTAGTGCGGGACATAAGCAAATGGGCAGATGGCCTACAATGATAATAGGTTATTTAATAATAGGTTCGAATAGGAATGACAAAAAAATAGAAATAAAGATTGAATTTAAGCATTCAGCTGTCCGTTTAGGAGACAGTGAGTCGGCTATACAGGAATTATGGTTTCGCGCACCGTAAAGTTTGTTTGTTTTTCGTGGCAGAGGAGGAGAGTTATGAGTGTAATATGTATTGATGTAGTTACATATGGGACATTAGTAAAGTATATTATATACTAGCCTAACCATGTCACGAAATAATGTTAAGAGACTCTGCTCGCAGGGTAGCCGCAGATATCATAACTCACAAGAAATGTTTTTTTCACAGCAATAACAACAGCGTGGAATAAATGTCTAAGCACATCGAAATGCTCATCAACATAATTTCGTTTCCATAACAAAACAATGCCTAAATACAGCTAGAGCAGAAGATAGTTTCGAATTGGGATACCGGGTCTATTAGAAAAATAAAGACTCAGGAAAGCCCAGATATCGTACATAAAATAATTCGTTTTATGTTGCGGTCTGCTTTTTGTTACGAGAAGGTTCCACAAGCAAACGCCATTGTTTTTAAAGCTGGCACTCACTATATGTCGAACGCGAAAATGCTTTATAAGATAATTGGGATAATACGCGCGCTACGATTGGTGAAAAATCAAGTTTGATGAGGGTATCAAAACACGCTCGCGTCATCCTTTACAAAAACATCAGAATAATATGGCGCGCGGAATGGTTCAAAATTGTCATTTCGATGTAATTGAATATTTGTTGTCAATTGCGTTACTTCGCTTGAATGTGTACACTTATCAGTTCATTGTATTACACAAGCACGTTCCATATGTTTTTTTTTGGTCAATCAATGCTTATAAAAATAGTCAATCACCAAAACTCGGTCAATTACAAAAACTCTGTCAATTACAAAAAACTCGGTCAATCACCAAAACTCGGTCAATTCCAAAAACTCTGTCAATTCAGCAAAAAACTCGGTCAATTCCAAAAACTCGGTCAATTCCAAAAACTCTGTCAATTCAGCAAAAAACTCGGTCAATTCAGCAAAAAACTCGGTCAATTACAAAAACTCTGTCAATTCAGCAAAAAACTCGGTCAATTCAGCAAAAAACTCGGTCAATTACAAAAACTCGGTCAATTCAGCAAAAAACTCGGTCAATTACAAAAACTCGGTCAATTCAGCAAAAAACTCGGTCAATTACGTAACAATAAGCACGTGTCATATGTCTTTTGTCAATCATCACGCGTAAAACTCTGTCGATTCAGCAAAAAAGCTTTGTCGATTCAGCAAAACCTTTTCGATTACGTAACAGAGGTAAGCACAAGATATGTCTTTTTTTAGTCAATCATCACGCGTAGCATCCAAAGCTCCTCTCAGTCGACGTCAGAAATACTATATGAAATACCATATTCCATTGTTTTTTTGGTCTTAGTTTGACTGTAAGTCACTAAATACGCGGCCGGTCAAGTAAAAGTAAGAGTTAGTTAGCGAGAACGGAGGCATTTAGCTATATACAGACCGGGGATATATCCGGGGATACTAATATGTATCAAGCATGAACAATACAGTACTGCTCATAATCGCATTGGGAGCTTTTAACATTTCAGGCTTTAACTTAGAAAATAATATATATACTTTCAATGAAACAACGTTCTTGAATCAACCTCAATCAATTTG